CCACCCATTAATAAAAGGAAATTCTATAACTTAAAAACTACACATGCACTAGCTCTGAAATTTTAACCAGAGCTTCTAATAAGCAATAATAGACTACCCACAAAATTTCATAATTTTTGGATCACAGAAACTCCAGATAAAATTCAAACAAGTTTGCATGTATCCAAAAACACATTTCAGAGTCCTATTTAATTCATCCAGAATTTCTAAAACATGTGCTCATATAATATTTTTATTAAATACTAGACAATACTAGGAACTCAACAAAATTAGAACCATAGCATTTGGACCTACCAAACTTGAGTTACATATTTTTGAAATTGTGCACCAAAATGTGAAAAACAGTTAAACAAAGCAAAAATGAAAACCTAACCGCTACTGGGCCAGCCCGTAGAAACGACGGCCCGCGAACAACGCTGGCGTGGCCCAAGACGCGGTGCGGCCCACACTGGGCTCCCGCTTCAGCCGCGATGACTGACGGGAGGGGCCCGCGCGTCAGCGAGACAGGCAGGGGAGCGGAGGAGGGCGACGGCGCAACTCGCCGCCGGTGGCTCCTCCGGCGAAGGCAATGGTGCAAACAGTTTCGCCTCACCCTAGCGGACCTAGGGGAACCATCTATTGCAGCTAAGGACGCAGCTAGAGGGGGTGGCGATGGCCATGGCGGCGCTCGGTGACGGCACGGCCGGCTCCGGCAAAGCTACGACGTCATGGCCCTAGTGGCACACTCAACGAGCTTCCGTGTCCCACACAGAGGCTAGCGCAAGGGAGAGAAGGGGCGATAAGGAGCTCGAGCAGCACGGCCACGTGCGAGCTCGACCGGCGGCGGTCATGGCGACCCAGTGGAGCCGCGCTCACGGTGAGAGCTACCTGAGGCGAAAATGGAGTGGCGGTGGGGTCGAGGACGTGGAGAGGCTCACGATGGTGTTGTGGTTCAGAGGAATCGGGCAATGGCGCTCGGTTTTGGGTGGAATTGGCTCGGCGGTGTCACGGTGTCCCGGTCGCCGTGCGCGCGGAGGAAGGAGAGGGAATGCAAAAATGGAACAGGCGACTCGGCGGGCAGGCGCTGGGGCTTCAAGACGTGGCTGTCCGCGCCAGGGCGTCCACGGCGCGTGGCCTGCGCGCTCAGGCGAGCGGCGATGGGTGGCACCACGCGGAGTTGTTTTTCTGAATCGGTCGGCCACGTTCACTGAACGTTTTCTGAAAACGCGATTCAGTGTTTGATGACCATGACTGACAGCACGTATTCGACGATCATTAACTCCTAATCCGTGGCGAGCTAGACTATGCCATAGTTAACAAAGTTGCTCATCTATACGTGAACTACAACTCTTTCCACTGGAGCTCAAGCTGGTTTGGCTTGGTTAGGGAGATACAAGGTGACAAAGTTGGGTACATGTAACTGCAACACAGTTAAGGACTTAGAAAAATTCCTAAGTCTGAAATCAGCATGCACTTCTGACTTGTGGGTCATGTTTGAGCATGTTCTAGCCATTTTCATGAGTTGGTCATAAAACAACTTTTGTTCCTTGATAAATTAGCTACAACTTTGGTAAAGAGTGCACAGCCATGCAAAGTCTCTAAGTTGGTCTTTTGAATCAGTCAAACAATGACACTCTAAGGGTCAATTCAAGTCAAACTTGCACTTGAGGGCATTTTGGTCATTTTGATCTACATGAACAATGTCCCAACAAGTAACCTAAGTATAGTTAAGGTGTAATAGACCATGATCAACCACTTTACAAAATTGTTATACCACTTCTAATGATCACATGTGATAAAGAAAGTAAAACAAGCAATTCATTCATATGTTGCAATGCAATGTTTCACATGTTTCAAGACCTTGTTGTCATTTTATAATTGCCCCATTACTACCATATTGCCATGTTTCCAAGTATGAGAGTTTCATGTTACATTCACATGTTGCACTACTACCACTCTAAGCAATCAAGCATGAAACACATATAATTTAAAATGTTGCATATGTATGTTTCAATGATAATGACATGATGACATAGATAATGCACATGTTTATGAAATGACATGCAATTTAGTGGAAGCCTGAACACCTAGGGTGTTACACAAGATATGATAGAAAATAGAAAAAACTTTGAAACGTCGGAGCAGAGAGCAAAGAGTGAGCGTCTTGGGAGAAGTGTGAGACCAGCGCCTAGCGCGATTGATTTTACAATTCTCTCTCCTGTCCAACCAATAACATATGAGCACTGCTAGCGATTTCGATAGCCGTTGGAGCCGCCCTAAGGGCAGTCTCAATGCTAGAAACCACAGATAGTTTCTACATCTATTAATTTATATTGACACTACATATAAATAAACTATGTTTCCAATGGATAGTTTTTACATAATAATCTTTTGTCCAACCACATGTCTTTTTTCTCCCTCATCTGACTATCACATCTCTTTATGTCTTGATTCCTGTATAGACATAGTTTCTTATTAAGAAACCATTTTCTTCTCTCTTCTCGTTAATTCGCTTGCCACATCAGCAAAATGCTTAGGTGACAGAGTAATTAATGCATATAGAAACTATGATGGTTTCTGCATTGTGAGTGACCTAAGTGTTTCTATTGGATGAGTATAATATGTCGGTGCAGTGCAATCAACAACTGCATGCAACATGACTCCTTTGAAAAAAGAATTTGTAATCCATGCTTTGGTACTATAACTATATAACACTATAGAAGTTTTTGAACGATCTAGACAAATTTGTGACAGTTATTGATTTTCTGAATTCGTGACTATTGTATTGAAAAATTGATTTAGTGTGTGTAGTATGCTTGCTTGTTGGCGCTTGCCCTTGCTGCACGGCAGCGTTGCACCGGGAAAAAAAATCCTTTTTCACTCCATTACTATCATTGTAATCCAGTTTTTCTCTTTATCAAACTCTATAGAGCCGGACATCTTAATACCCTCCTCCCCACACACTACTCTCAAAACCATTTGAATTATATTTCATGGTAGAAGTTGTTGGCAAGGTAGTTTCTTCATTTTTGTAAGCTTTTGAAAATCCGAGAAAAAATTTAGAGATATATTTGGGGCATGAGAAACCAAAAAAATATTTAGAGATCATGAAAAATATCTCTACAAACCTCCAAGCTCTAAGAAAATGGATAAAAACATCCAAACAATCTATAAAATTCCCAAAACATTGCAATCAATATCTAAGTACATTTTAAAAACTTTCCTCAACAAAAACACAACATCTAAACAACATGAATGCATTTCACATTATTGTATTTTCCATTCATGTTGGTTTCATCTCATATTTTTGTTGAATAAAGTTTTTAAGACATGTTTATACATTGATTAGTTTGTCCTCAGAATTTTCTAGTTTCCTGGATATTTTTTCTATTTTCCTAGAGCTAATTCAGAATTGTAGAAGCTTTTAGAGATATTTTCATGAGATCTAATTATCTTATCTGGATTTCACGTATCCCAATCCATATCTAGAAGTTTTTTTTCAGAACTTAGAAGCTTAGATACAATTTTCATGGTTTAAAAGCATTGTAAGAGATTTATCGAATGTTTTTTAACTAAAAAAATAAATCCATCTTGAAAACCAATTCTAACTAGGGTAGAGAGGTAATCTAAAGGTTTTTTTAGAGTCTAGAGAGTAAGATGTATGTCTTTGAGGATCGAAAGGAAAACTAGACTTTGGTGGTTGAAAATGTACAAATAGGGTCGAGCGAAAAAGCTCATGGCTAGCTAGCTAGTTCAACTCAGTTCGGCTTGGCTTTTTTTTTAGTTTTTGTAACAAGCCAAAAAATGGCATTGTAGCTCTTTAAGTTAATGAGTAAGTTTGAGCGAGCTTGCAAGTCAGCTCGGGAGCTAAATGGGCCAAATATTTCTTCGTAATCCAACAACTTAAATAGGCACCAATTACTCTTCATGTCACACTATACGCATGAGATTGAAGCTTTATAACCTATGTGGTTATATGCGCTATTGTGTACCTCTTTTACTTTGTGTTTGCATGGAACTAATTATATATTACTCCATCCATTCCAAGTTATAAGCCGTTTTAACTTTTTTAAGATACATTATTTTGATATGCACTTAGATATATATTGTGTTGAGATGTATAGTTAAAACAATAAATCTGAACAAGCCAAAACGCCTTATAATTTAGAGCGGGAGAAGAATGATTATTGATTATTTTATTGATTGCAGATTTTTTAATATATATAAGTTGAGCCGCTATCGTAACGACCTATATTGAATACTTATTATTTTATTAATTGCAGATTTTTTTAATATACAAGTTGAGCCGCTATCCTAACGAGCTATATTGAATAGAGCCATAATAAGGAGCCAAACAGCCCTAAAGTACAAATGATTTTTTTCCTGTCGCAACTCACACCACACACGCAGGCCAACGGCCCTCGCGCTGTGGCCGTTTCGTGATAGCAGCCTTGGGCCTCCACCGCTACCATACTCGGCTGGGCCGAATTTCATTGGTCGACGAAATTTTAGCCCCAGGCACGCACGACGCACGCGGGCGCGGCACGCTGCCCCTGCCGGTCTGCCCCACCCCACCCGAGCCGACGGCCGACGCAGCCACGCAGGCAAGAGCAAAGAGAAGAGGCACGCGGGGCCGGCGCGGGGCTTTGGTGTCGTGCACTCGGGGCCACGGGGGGCAGTGGGCACTCGACTCGTGCGCAGGGGGTTTTCTTCCGCGAGCTTCTCCCCCCGACTCCGGCCGGCCCGCCGCCGCAGGCATCGTGTCGTGCGTGTTGAAGCGAACGCCTCCCGACCCCGGGGCGATTAGACTCTGTTCCAGTCCCCCGATGATATCCCAGGTCTGGGCTGCCCGATCTCTCCCCCGATCCCCAACGAAGCTCCATCAGCCACGGCTTCCGTCAGCGGCGCCCTAGCCGGCCGCCTTGCGCTCCGTCGCCAATCCGCCGCGCCACGGGCCGATTCGCCGTTCCTCCGGCCATCGAGCGCGGGCGGATAGGCAATCGCTGCCCTGAGACGCCCTCATGGAAGCCAGATCGGTCACGGGGCCTCCGCCGCCGCCCCTCCCCGCCGGCGCCTTGGCTGATCGCCGCGATCCTTCGGCGATCCCGGACGGCTGCTTCCGCCTGCCCAAGACCTCGTCGACGAGCCTGACCAAATCCTTCACGGCGGTGCACGACTTCAGGGTGACCGACTACTCGCTGCTGGAGGGCATGGGGTTCGGCAGGTACGTCAGCTCCAGCACCTTCTCCGTCGGCGGCAGCGACTGGGCCGTCCGATTCTATCCGGACGGCGCCACGGCGGGCTTGCTCGGCGACGTCTCGGCCTTCCTGTACTACTACAGCCGGGACCGGGACGCGCCCGGCGTCAGGGCGCGGTTCACCCTCAATCTGCTCGAGAGGGACGGGAAGATGCCCCCGGCCACCAACCCCTACATGAAGCACACCTTCTCTCTGGCCAGCGACAACTGGGGCTTCACCAAGTTCATGGAGAAGTCCAGGCTGCAGCAGGGCTCGCCGTACCTCGACAGGGACTGCCTCACGATCAGGTGCGTGCTGACGGTGGTGATCGACTCCCGCACCGTGGACAACGAGATGAACTCTGTCGTCGTCCCGCCGTCCAACCTGTACCAGGACTTTGGGGAGATGCTGAGCGATGGCGAAGGTGCAGACGTCACATTCACTGTGGACGGCCAGTTGTTTCATGCCCACAGATGTGTCCTGGCTTTCCGCTCTCCGGTGTTTAGAGCGGCGCTCTTTGGTCCAATGAAGGAGAAAGCTGAAAATCTCATCAAAATCGATGACATGGAGCCAGCAATCTTGAGGCTCTGCTTCACTTCATCTACACAGATCGTCTGCCTGATAGCTGCAGTGATGGCGGAATGCGGCGATGCAGCACTTGCTCGTTGCAGCGGACCGGTATGGAGCGGAGAGGCTAAGGTTGTTGTGTGAAAGTAAGCTCAGCGAAGCCATTGATGTGGAAACAGTGGCGGCGCGCTAGCTTTAGCAGAGCAGCACAACTGCTCGCAGCTGCGACGAGCCTGCATTGAGTTCATGGCCTCGCCAAACATGCTTGGCCCAATCATGGAAACCGATGGATTCAATCATCTCATTGCAAGCTGTCCATTGGTTATGAAGGAGATTCTAGACAAGGTCTCCTGCATTTGGAGTGGTAAGCAGTGCCGGTGACAAGTGAGTGATACTGATTCTTAGTCAGTCAGTCAGTCGTGTGTATTGCTGTGGCATATCTTTTAGGGAGTGAACCTTCTAGTTCATGATGTTTTTTAGAATGATAACAATAACATCGGTTTCATGGCAAATGACTCCAAAAATTGAAATTTCTCTAGGTTTGGGCATATGTTCAGTTGCTATCCATCTGTGCGTTTGTTCTCTCTATATATACTGACCAGCAGTGACTTACATCAGACATAGTATATCAACAATGAAACTCTATCTAAACGTCAGTATCAATTCACCTTTGTCCCCTTGTCGTTAAATTGTGGTATTTAAGCCGTGTGTGGTTCTGGTTCTGTGCTGCGGGTGCGTGGAGCTTCAGAATAATTTTTCCTTGGATGAAAGTTGTGTTATGCTATGCATTGTGTTGCATTGGTCCTGAATCAATCTGCATTTCCCATCTGATGTCTATAATGTATCCATGGCAATGCATATATTCAGGTCCTAATGTTTCATGCAAGATATATCCGCTGTATTTTCCTTTGATCTACCTAAAATGACTGAGGATTTGTGATGATTGGTACCCGGTACAAACAATATGCTTTTCTTCTTGATATGTCATAACTTCTCAACCTAACTCGGTTGAAGTTAACCTGGCCATGTTCACCTTCCCACTATACCTATTTGGATTGAAGCAGGCTAGAGCTTCATGCACCTAGAATCCCAGGTGACCGATTTTAGATGCCGGGACAGAATGAGTCATACAGAGAACCCCCCCCCCCACACACACACACCACTAGAAGCTTCTGATCCTAATCACCTATTACATAAAGACAAGACCCGACCAAAACGGGGAGAGCACAATCTAACCTCTCTCCCTAGCAGTGAGCAGGGTGAGCCCCTTTGCCCCTGCCAGACTCCACCACTCTACCTCCTCCATAGCAAGGGCCAAGGCCGCTCTAGTGTTTGGAGCAGCTCCATTGGACACACACTCATTGCGGTGCCTCCAAATAATCCAGGATCTAAGGATGATAATAGAATTTAGCCCTTTCTTTACATCACCTGTAACCACCCTTTCCGCTCTGGACCACCATTCATCTAGAGATGTATCACTGGGCTGCGGAGCGAGGGTGGAGAGGCTGACCTGCTGAAGAAGGGAAAACCAGAACTGTTTGGCAAACACGCATCTAATCAAGAGGTGTTGGATGCTTTCCTCATGCTGATCACACAGGAGGCAGCGATCATGGTGGGGGAGCCCTCGCTTGTGCAGCCAATCTGCTGTCCAACATCGTTTATGTGCCACCAGCCACATAAAGAAGCGACACTTTGGTGGAGCCCATGACTTCCATATTCGTTCATAGGGTTCAAAGTGGATGGCACTCTGAAAAAGAGCATCATAAGCAGATTTTGCGGTGTACTGACCAGTAGTGGATAGCCTCCAAATATGTCTGCCAGGCACGCCTTCCTGAAGTACCACAGTAGAAATTATATCCCAAAGCTCCAGGTACTCCATTAGTGCTTCCAGGGAGATGGCGCCTTGAATATCCTCCAGCCATTTATTATTATTGAGGGCCTCCATCACAGTGGGCCTTCCAGACCTCCTTTTAGTCACTAGTGCATACACCTTTGGTGCAAGGTCCTGGATGCTCTTCCCGGCCAGCCATCTATCTCTCCAAAATAAAGTGTTGGCCCCATCTCTAATTTCAGTTGCCCGTTCTGGTTTCCAAGCAAATAACCTCTATATGATAAGATATATATACGCCCTAAGTTTGACAATGCTATTAGAATTAGAATTGTCATTTCATAACCAATGTTGCACCTAAACATCTTACTAGACAACGTAACTTTCTTTAGGCAGAATTAGCGCAAACAATATTAGGGAGCCTGAGGGAACGCCTAATCGATGAGCAATAAGAGTTAAACCCCCCCCACACACACACACATATATATATATATATATATAATTTTATCTTATACTCTTATAAAAGCAAAACCCCACTACCATATTTTACTGCAATTTCGTGAAGCCACAAGGGACCCACTAAGCCACTAACATCATCCATTGAGTCTTCGTACAATCCATACATGGAACTTCCATCTCCTTGCATCCTGTGCCCTTTGGTTTGTTAATCTCCTCATCTCCTGTAACTGATTAGCCAAAATGCCATGGCATCCTTCACAGACAGTCTTTTTGACAGGAACTTCTGGGCTTTGCCCTGTGCTATTAAATTAATCTAAACTCTATCTATACTAATTTACTGTTACTAGAACCGCACATGTTCCTGGATCCCAACCTGGGCCACGTCACCGTTTTTCATGTGGCCCGTCCGATTGGCATCATGCGGCCTCTGTTCGGCGATGGCTGAACTCTCTCACACCCAAAATATCTAGCGGCGCGAGCGCCTCTCTCCCGCTCATCCTCCACGCGCGCCCGCTCTCGTTCCTTCGCTGCTCCTCCCTCTCTCTAAGCGGCTAGGGCGAGCCCCGGTCGCGCATGTCCCGGCCTCAGCTAGGGCGGCCTGGCGCGGCAGCCCTAACGAGGGAGGCCCCCTGGCTCGGCGGTGGCGGCGTAGGTCCGGCGGCGCGGCGTGACATGGTGGCGGCACAAAGCCAGGTAATTTCCTCCTCCTCTACGACTTAAGGTCCTGGTGCCGGGCTAAGTTGGAGGAGGTAGGAGGACGTGGTTCTACCCTTGAGATGTTGCCCCTCCTCTTTCTCTTTTTGCGTTGTTTTTTTTACTTTGGGTTAGATTTGTGACTGAACAAAGTGGTGGAAACTGAAAGGGGAGACGTCAAAGGTATTAAGAGAAAGGGTTATCAAAGAGGGCTCTTGGAAGGAAGAAGAGGACACAAACAACATGTGGGAGAAGATGGCAACCAACATTCGGAAGGTGGCATCAGAGGTGTGTGGAGTAACCAAAGGAAGTGGAGGCGAGGCTAAAGATACTTGGTGGTGGAACAAGGAAGTCCAAAGGGCTATTAAGGAGAATAAAGAATGCTATAGACGCTTGTACCATGACAGGAGTGTGGTCAACATAGAGAAGTACAAGGTGGCAAAGAAGACTGCAAAGTGAGCTATAAATGTGGCAAAGGGTAGAGCGTACGAGGATCTTTACCAACATTTGAGTACGAAGGAAGAAGAGAAAGACATCTATAGGATGACTAGGGTTCATGAGAGAAAGACAAGGGACTTCAACCAAGTTAAGTGCATTAAGGATGAAAGGGGGCATCTCTTGGTGAAGGAGGATGAGATCCAACATCGATGCCAAGAGTATTTTGACAAATTATTCAATGGTGAGAATAAGGATACAACCTGTCGGGTTCATAAACCCGGGGTCCCCAATGGACCCGCTTCCCTGCAAAAACTCGGCCCAGCAGACGGCATAGCAACAACGCTCGCCTCTCGAGCTGGCCCAGATATAGGCCGGGGCAACGATCCGGTCCCCAACCGGAAGAACTAGCCAAGGTGAGGACACAGTCCGACTCCAACCTCCTTTTCGACTGAGGATACGTCGGACCTCTGCTCGCGATTTTTCCCCGATCGACACGGTCGGGGCCGACTGGGAACAACCGACTGGGGACGCCCGCTCGGTAAGGGCCCGGGGACCAGGCGGAGCAGGTAAGGTAAGGCGCTCAAGTCAACCGCAATACCGAGGACCGTACCCTGCCATGCCCTATGCACCTTTAGGATGGTGCCAACAAGCCATGCCAGGCCGGCACTATGCAACCTTCCAGGCGTGTGAGAGCACAAATAGTATTGTAGGCGCCGACGTTTGTCGTACCAAGCGAACACCTGCGCTGGCGCGGTCTTCAGCGGCGGTCGGGACAGGGGCAAGGCCAAGCACGAGGACCAAGGCGAGGGCCCCTCCACGCAAAAGGGCAAGAAGACCAAGAAGGATCAGCACCGATCGGCCAACCTAGCCTTGGTCGCTGCGACCGATCATGCGGGCAAGCAGCCCCAGCAGGGCCAGCCCGACCACTTCGATAAGCTCATGGAGAGTCCATGCACCAACCACGCCTACCCTGTCAAGCACCTCTACAAGGACTGCGAGATCCTCAAGCGCTTTCTACGGTAGGCCGGCAAGCCAAAGGAAGGGAAAGGCAAGGAGGAGGCGGCCAAGAAAGGAGGCACGACGGGCAAGGATGACGACGGTTTCCCTAACCCTGAGGAATGCCTCATGATCTCTAGGGTATCCGATGCCATCCACTCCAAGCGCCAGCACAAGGTATGCTATAGAGAGGCTTACGCCACCATGTCGGCCATCCCTTCTTTCCTTAGCTGGTCGGACTCCTCGATCACTTTTGATCAGAGAGACCATCCGTCCCATGTCGCCCGACCGAGTCGCTACCCGCTCATTGTTGACCCAATCGTCCGCAAGAAGCGCCTCACCAAGGTGCTAATGGATAGAGGCAGTGGCCTCAACATCCTCTACGTCGACACCCTCAACACCATGCGCATCCCCTGGTCGGAGCTCCGCCCAGTGGGCTCTCCCTTCCACGGCGTGATCCTAGGGACGTAGGCGTACCCGCTCAGGTAGATCGACCTACCCGTCATGTTTGGCGACAGAGCCAACTTTCGCTCGGAGGTCCTCACCTTCGAGGTGGTGGACTTTCTAGGGTCCTACCACGCCATCTTGGGGTGGCTATGCTATGCCAACTTCATGGTGATCCCTAACTATATCTACCTCAAGTTGAAGATGTCGGGACCGAACGACGTCATCACTGTGGGTAGCACCTTTTCACATGCCTACACGTGCGACCGCGAGCATTATGAGCTTG